TGCACATCGTGTACATGTGAGTGTGCACATCCTGCACATGTGTGCACACATCCTGTGCGTGTCTGCACACTCCTGCACACACATCCTGCACATGTGTGTGTGTGCACATCGTGTACATGTGGGTGTGCACATCCTGCACGCGTGTGCACACATCCTGTGCGTGTTTGCACACTCCTGCACACACATCCTGCACATATGTGGATGTGCACATCGTGTAGATGTGTGCACACATCCTATGCACATCTGCTCACGTGTGCACACACATCCTGCACATGTGTGTGCATGCACATCGTGTACATGTGGGTGTGCACATCCTGCACACGTGTGCACACATATCCTGCACATGTGGGTGCATGCCGTTGTTTACATGTGGGTGTGCACATCCTGCACACATGTGCACACATCCTGGGCGTGTCTGCACACGTGTGCACACGCATCCTGCACATGTGTGTGTGTGCACATCGTGTACATGTGAGTGTGCACATCCTGCACATGTGTGCACACATCCTGTGCGTGTCTGCACACTCCTGCACACACATCCTGCACATATGTGGGTGTGCACATCCTGTACATGTGTGCACACATCCTATGCGCATCTGCTCACGTGTGCACACACATCCTGCACATGTGTGTCCATGCACATTGTGTACATGCGGGCGTGCACGTCCTGTATGCGTGCACACACATCCTGTGCGTGTCTGCACACCCCCGCATATGTGTGCACACATCCTGCACATGTGTGTGCATGCACATCGTGTACATGTGAGTGTGCACATCCTGCACGTGTGCACATCCTGCACACGTGCACACACATCCTGTGCATGTCTGCACACTCCTGCACGTGTGAACGCACATCCTGCACATGTGTGTGCGTGCACATCGTGTACATGTGAGTGTGCACATCCTGCACACGTGCACACACATCCTTCACATCACTCACATGGGCAACACATCCTGCACACATGTGCACACACATCCCACACACATCCTGCACATGTGCACACATATCCCATGCACATACATCCCACACACATGCGCACACATGCACACACATGTGCATGCACATCATGTGCATGTGCACACACATCCCACACACATCCTGCACATGTGTGTGCGTGCACATCGTGTACATGTGAGTGTGCACATCCTGCACACGTGCACACACATCCTTCACATCACTCACATGGGCAACACATCCTGCACACATGTGCACACACGCACATCCTGTGCATGTGCATACATGTCCTGCACACATGTGCATGCATGCCCTGCACACACATGCACACACGTCCCCTGCACACACATGTGCATGCACATCATGTGCATGTGCACACACATCCCACACACATGCACACACCCTGTGCATGTGCACACACACGCACACACATCCCATGCACTTGCACACACATGTGTGCACACACATCCTGCACACATGTGCACACACATCCTGTGCATGTGCATACATGTCCTGCACACATGTGCATGCACATCCTGCACACGTGCACACACGTCCCACACACATGCACGCATGTCCTGCACACGTGTGCACACACACATGCACATATGTCCCACAGACATGTACACACCATGCACACACGCATGCACACATGTGCACACACACGCACAGATGTCCTGCACACGTGTGCACATACACACATGTACACACGCCCCACAGACATGCACACAGGCGTGCACACACGCATGCACACACGTCCTGCACACATGTGCACACGCACGCACACACTGTACACACACACACGTCCTGCACACAGGTGCACACACACATGCACACACCGTGCACATATGTGCACACACGTCCTGCACACATGTGCGCACACACACGCATGCCACAGACATGTACACACTGTGCACACCCGCATGCATGCATGTCCTGCACACATGTGCACACGCGCATGCACACATGTCCTGCACACATGTGCACACATGCATGCACACACATCCTGCACGCGTGTGCACCCACCATGCACACATGTCCTGCACACGCACACATGTCCTGCACACACTGTGCACACACACACGTCCTGCACACGTGTGCACACACACACACACGCGCGCACACACATCCCACAGACATGTACACACTGTGCACAC